GTAGACAAGTACAATATAACTGTTCTGCGAGTCTTTTGTGCAAATGAAGTTACATTAAATAAATTTGTAGACATTTTGTATCATATCTTGTTTTTATAAATTGTATTTTGATTTACTCATCTCACTTGTGGTAAATAGTACAATGGTTTCTGTTCTGCCAAGTTTTCACTTTATTTAAAAAACTTTTCTGAGTAATTTCTAATAAATAATAAAAGTTTTTTATTAATAACTCCATGAATAATCACAACTTTACAATACTAAGTGATTTTTAATTTTAAATCATGTGAATCCAGCTCAAATTCACTGTCAAGAAAAGAGATAGAACATTAAATTGTCTAGTACATATTTCATATTCTGTGCTTTAAGTGTAATGGTTAAATCCCACTGTTTCATCAGACAAGAGTATTCCAATTGGTGAAATTTATCTAAAACATATTGCATTTCAATACAGCAAGATTCTTCATAATATAAGTGTGAACTTTAAATGTAGATAAAGAAGTACAGGTGTGCAGGTAAACCTAAACAATTAGAATTCTCCAATATTTTGGTAACTCGCATTTATCAATGGGTGTATTAGATGATTTAAGTGATTTGAACATCCCAAAAATATACTGATATGAGTACATCAAAAAAACTTGTATCCTTAACTTATTCCAGATTTCACTACCAGGGCAAATTTTATTTAGTTGACAAAAGCAAATAAAACTAAAAAATATATACTGATTTGAAGTCTAAATTTGAATATCATGTAAACAAAGTTCAACAATAATGTTTTATGTTGCTAAAGATTGTTTTTCCAAATTCTGGTGAAATAGATGTCTTGATGCACAGTTTGCTTACTTCTTGTTTCTGTCAAATCTTGATAGATAAACAGTACTTCATCAAATTCAAGATTCTGAGTAACTAATACACAGCGATGTCAAATATTTAAAAGTAACTAATGCAATCAGCAAGACACGCACACAAAAATTACTTGAATTATTTTTCAAATCTTATGAAATGGTTGTTGACTGGGCATGGCCTAGTAGTTAGTGTGTCCATACTGTGAATAAGTGGATTCATTATTTCAAGAGCCATTAGTGCAAAAATGCACTCAACACTTTGGGATTGGGGATGCACTATAAGTGTAATGGTTAAATACCAGTGTTTAATCAGCAAGATTCTTCATGATAAAAGTGTGAACTTTAGATGTATATAAAGAAGCACATTTATTGGATTTGTACAGTTTTAAGTTTTTGGTTTTATTATTTTTAAGTGGTTGTTATTATATCAATGAATTCAGACCATAAACTTTTATTAAAATAAAATTACATAATACAATTTCTCTTCTTGCAAGATAAGTTTGATTTTAATGCTGCTTTATAAATTAAGCAAGTATTTTTTATTTACTGAAATAATCTGTCAAATCTTCATTTGTGTATTGTATTGTATTCTAATATGTTTGGCCCCAGGAAAGAATACCAGATGTGTGATACTTGGAATGTGCTTTTCAGTGAAACATACACACAGTCATGTGAATACATGTACACAGGTTAAATTATGAACAATTTCTATTTTCCAGGCTAATATGATAACTGTAAATCTGTTAACTTTAATAAAAAGTTACTTCCCTAGTAAAACTTTATGCAAATTAAGAAACTGCCATAACCAAGAGTTATTTGCTGAGAGTTATTTGTGGTAAAATAATAAATCTACCACTTGTATAATTGTTGTTGTACTGATTGACACTTGCAGAATAGTTTTGACAGAAAGAAAAAGAGAGAGAGAGAGAAAGGAAATATTGGACAGATTAGACCAAAAGTAGAAACACAAGAGGGACTTCTTAGTAGACATAAATGTTTTCTAGTGTTAAGACAGTCAAAGGGATTACATGTTTCCTGAATCAGTAATACATGGGTATTGAATGTGGGTCCAATTTACCTAGGCTTATATTGGTGGACTGATAAAACTAAAGGTGCCTGGAAAGAAGGCACTACTGGAACAAAATTTGAGTATGTTCCTGAAAAAAAGAACTATTAAAAATTCTAAGCTCCAGATAACCTGGCAGTTTTCTGAAAGAAAGGACAACTGCTGAACTACCGGCAGTTTATTGAAGACTGTCCGTTCTTTTATGTTTTTCTACATTATATGTCTTCTTCCTTTTCATGCTTGCTATTTTGCTTTGTTATTGCTACTGTTATGCTTTTTTTCTGTGTATTGCCATATATTTTTAAAGGTTTATTTTATATCTTTTGTGTATTTATTTTGCATTACATTAAACATTTATATTAATTTACTTAGTATATGATTATATTTATAAATAAATTTATAAATTTTATTTATAAATAAAACTTAGCAGATTTGATGGCAGCAATATAACAACAGCAAAAGAAACAAGAAGAACAAGAAAAGAGACTACAGCAGTGGTTGTAGGAAAAAGAAAAGAAACAAGAAGAGAGATTACAGCAGTGGCAAGAAAACCTGCAACAGTGGCAGCTCGAACAGCAAAATAAACAAGAAGAGATATTACAGCAGTTGTTGGAGGAAAAAGAAAGGAAATAAGAAGAGAGACTAGATCAGTGGTTGGAGGAGAAATAAAATAAACAAGAAGAGAGATTACAGCAGTGGCAACTAGAACAAGAAAGGAAACAGAAAGAAAGTCTCTAACAGTTGCAGGAAAGTCAGCAGCAACTACAGGAAAGACAACAACTGTGGCAAAAAGTACAAATGGAAAACATTGGTAAATTTCAAAGTGAATTAAAGGATGATTTATTGTCTTTTACACAAGGAGGATACATTAACCATCGACT